GTAAGATGTTGATACTGATACAGTATTGAGATTTGCCTGTATGGCCGGTTTTAGTTCAGTGTTACTGTAGGGCATCCAGGATTTTTTCCCCCTGTGTTGTTACTTGGGGGATCTGCTTTAAGATCAGTTAACTTCTGACTGTCTGCTTCTGAGTAGCACAAGTAGAATATAGATCTTCTATTTCTACTGCCATGTAGATGATACTATATTTCTTTTTCTGTTACTGACTGTGGCTTACAAAATGTTAGATATTAAATGTCACATTTAATTCTATGAATCTTAAGACCAGCTAAGCTAAAGGCTTGAGTTGTAGTAAGAATAAATATATTTTAATTAAATTTTCTTCAAAAATAAAAAAATTTTCTCTCTAGATGTGAAAAGTTTTAGACTCTTCTTTGTCTCCGGATACATGTGTAATTACCCTTATTGCTCTATAGCCAAATCACAGTCAATAGGTTGTTTAGAAGTTTTTAGCATCGGGAGTACTAGAATGTTCTTTGAGTATCAGGTTTGACTGTAAATGCTTATCCTTTGATATCTCTGAATACTTTAAAAAACAGATACTTTATGTTTGTAATCTGGCACCCAAGAGTAATGCTACAAGGCACAAAGATATCACATATGTTTTAGTTAGTTTTAGTTCAAATTGCATAGTATGTTTCTTAAGAATTTTAGTGTGTAAACCTTTGTGATGGTTCAGAGTTTTGTTCTGTGTTTCTAATTGAATAGGTGCATCTGGATTTAATCTTAGAATAACTTCGGTAAACCCCAAGTTTTGAAAGTGTGGTAAGCTCTAGGGTCTGATGTGTCATGCACATTGGTTTGGTGGGTTTTTTACTAGAAACATTCCTTTGACTCCTCTGAAATGTTTTGTAGAAATGCCCAGCAGTTCATTCATAACCAGTCCACTTGCTCCATAGTACCTGCAGAACACTACTCTGCGGTACAGATCTCCTTCCTCTATTAGAAGGGAAAACTTCTAATGCTTCGAAGTTGAATCTTGTGTTTCTAGCTTTCTGAATATGAGAACAACCTTTTCTTGACTTTTTTTTTCCTGCTTTGAAGTTGTTCATCCGGAAGAGAACTTGTACCAGAATGGGAACATTTGCTGCTCATCAGGTTTCTTCAGGAGCTTTTGGCAATACTAGATTCCAAGCTCTTCTTTGTGGGGTGTGCTTACCTCCAAAACTCTTCTTACCCATTGTGATTTAAAATAAAGCTATCAAGTACGAGAACAGTCTTGTGAGATTTAGCTGAGGTTCAGTGTCTTTCATTAATTGTGTTTTTCATTTAAGATGTTCTGTACATTCATACAGCACTTTATTCATGCTTTTGGTAGCTTAGAGCTTTGTTGTAAAATGCTGTTTCGATAGTGCTTTCTCTTGTGTCCTGGTTTCGGCTGGGATAGAGTTAATTTTCTTCCTAGTAGCAGGCACAGTGCTGTGTTTTGGACTTAGTAGGAGAAGAATGTTGATAACACTGATGTTTTAGTTGTTGCTGAGTACTGCTCATGCTAGTCAAGGACTTTTCAGCTTCCCGTGCTCTGCAGGTGAGGAAGAAACTGGGAGGGGGCACAGCCAGAATAGTTGATCCAACCTGACCAAAGGGCTATTCCATACCATATGATGTAATGTTCAGTATAGAAACTGGGGGGAGTTGGCCGGGGAGCAGAGATCGCTGCTCGGGAAGTGTCTGGGTATCGGTCAGCGGGTGGCGAGCAATTGCATTGTGCATCACTTGCTTTGCATATTATGATTATTATTATTATTATCATTATTGTATTGTTATTATTATCATTCCTATTTTACTTTATTTCAATTATTAAACTGTTCTTATCTCAACCCAGGAGTGTTTCTCACTCTTACTCCTCCGATTCTCTCCCCCATCCCATTGGGGTAGGGGGAGTGAGCGAGCGGCTGCGTGGTGCTTAGTTGCTGCCTGGGGCTAAACCATGACACTCAGCTGTCAGGTGTATTTACATATGTAAAATTTGATATGCTGAAAGTGTTGTTTGGCCTTTAAAATTACCTAGAATGAAAATTACCTAGCCATTCTAGAATGAAAAAGTGTTTGAATCCTTCAGATAGATTTGTTTTGAAATATCAATTATATTTAGGCTTTTTATGACTTCTGTTGTAGAAATTAATTTTGTTTGCAGGCTGTGTGAAACTAACATTACAGTCACAGTTCGATACTGACAGTACAACCGTCATCACGCTCTGCACGTTGGCAGTCAGGAGCTCCAGCCCTGGTCCATTTGCTAACCAAAGGCATGTAGTAAACAAGTTTGGCTCAGCTGGCTTGAGCAGAACTGCACCTTGATTATACCCTGCAGAGTAACGGTTGTACCTTGAGCTGGGGTTCTCTATGCTGAAGTATGTGGAAATGCTTTTATGAGAGAGATAAACAAGTGTATGGTTGCACGTAAGTGAGAGCAACTGGAAAGCAGGTCATACTGGAAGCAAATATAATGCTTCTGTTTCATTAACTGCTATAAATATAGACTTCAGGTTTCTGATCTTCACAAATACTGTTAAGCATCTTTCTGAAAATGGAATGTCCCTAAAGATCAGTTTGGGTTATGTTGTTAATAGAGCCTAGGGAAATAAAAGTGTAAAGGCCCAAAAGGGTGGAGAAAACCTCTGGTTTCTGTAAAAGACAGTACAAAATTCTCCTGCTCATGTTTATTTAAAAACAAACAAACAAAAAAACCCCACAACAAAAGAAACCCAGTTGTGTTGTCACTTTAGCCTTAAAAGAATTTAAAAAAGATCCTTTTCACCCATTAATTTTATACATTTATGGTACTGTGCTATAATTGTGGAACACTTTTAGTGACTGTACTTTAATTTTTAACTTATTTTAACATAAATTATGAAAAGTCCAGTTAAGAACACCCAAGTATCAGTGGTTAAGATCAGTTCTTGGTTTCTCAAAAATACTTAACACATTTTAAAATAAAAAGCATTTATTTCAAAAGCTAGGTTTTATGTGGACTAAGAAACTGTATGAAACTATTTCATATGTAGGTTTTTAATCCACTCTTAATGTTTTAAATGTATGAAAAAGAAATATTCTAGGCAAAGTAATTTGACAATTGCACTAAGACCATTGTTTAATATATTGACCTATAATTTACACAGCATGCCAGTAGCTGGGAATGTTTGCGTTTGCATTTTTCTGAAATTCTATTTTGGGATTGAGCAGTAACTTCTACAGTGCTCTGTCTTCAATACTCCATAATGAATAGCTTGGTAAGGATGAAATTAATTTATCTGAGCCTTTGGTTCCCAAAGTACACTGTTGTTTGGGATTGTTTAGGTTTTTCTTGATGAGGAGTTTTTGCATAAATGAGCAAAATGCTCACTTACTATTTTTAAAATTGTGCTGCAAATAACTGTTTTTTCAAAGATTTCATGTGCAATGTTTGCGTATCAAAGCTGCATTGGAGCACTGTTGGATAGTAACATGAAAGTCTATCCTGTTTCATTCTAAAACCAAAAAAACCCAGCAATATTTTTATTTGAAAAGCACATTTTCAATTTTAATCCATTTTTATGATAGCATATTCATGTGTCAGTGTTGATCTCTTCACGATTTTTAAAAATCTACAAGGTATTTCTTAATGCTATTTTAAAATTACCTGTGATGTTGCAGGTATCCTTGATATTAACCGTTACTATTTACATTTCTATTATAGTGTTTGGTTCATTGCACTTAATCTGGCATTTGGATTAGTGGTTTTCCCTGCTCAAAAATCTCGATGTCTGGCTCTATTAAAGAAACTAAGAGTAAAAGCATCAGGAATCAAAATGTATTCTGCCTCAGTCTGTATGCTGAGCAGGAGTGCTGTTTCCATGGCAACACACAGGCTAGTGGGGGGGGAGGCTGATTCCTTTTCCCCAATTCTGAGAGTTTACATATGCAAACATGATTATTCTTAGCAAGATTCTCTTAAAAATCAGTGTTTGTAGGAGAGAAGGAAATAATGTTAGTGAAAATTGTCAATATACGTGCAGATGTTTCTTGTAGTCATTTGTTTCCTCTTTAATGAGTGAGGATTTGTTAGTGCAACACGCAGCTTTTTGCTAATGCTAGAAAAATGTACTAACTATGGCACTGATCTTGGACATGTTAAATGTGGGGCGTTCTAACATTTGATGGTGCTGCAAATGCTGTTGGACAAAACCTTGCTTTACCCTTTTAATGAAAGCTGCCTTCCTTTGGGAGGCTATATTATTAAATATAGTTGACATTTCACTGGGAGCAAGTTCTGAATAAGCAAAGGGTAAATAGTCACCACTCCAGAGATAACAAAGCTTTGCAATTAATTTTATTTTTTTCAGAAATGGCAGGTTTTAGAGCAGGTAATATGCTAAATTGGTCTTCCATTACTGTAGTGCAGCTGTGTCTCAGCCTCGCCCATTTTATTTATTATAGGAACCATAGGCTGATACGTTTTCTGTGCTCAAGCTTATAGATAAATCCTTCTTCTGTAAGTGCATTGAGAAACCATTACGTTCTACTACTGAAATATGTTGGGGTGGTTTTTTTGAAGGCTGAATATTTTGTATTGAGACTATTTTATTTAGTCACTAGAGATTAATTTCTTCCTTGATTAAAAATACACAAACCTGAAATTATAGGAAAGAGGAGTGCAAATCCCGGAGTATTGTCTGCCTGTCTTTATTTTTTTAATGAAGGATTGGAATAGTGACAAATACCGTGTGTGGGAATGAATTTATTTGCATGGAGAATTTTCACCTTTTCCTCTGGCAGTGGCTCCCAGAAGATGATGTCACCTTGCAGCTCATTGGTTGTGCGGCACCTAGTGCAGGGAAGGGAGAGAAAGATGCCGGCACAAATCTCAGTGGTGGATCTAGGGTGTTTGCGAGCAGTTTTTGATAGAATCTTTGATTAGTATTGAGAATTTACTGCGTGTGGCCATGTGAGATGCTGGGTCCGTCCTAGGGTGAGGGGATTGAAGAGCTATCAGAGGAATGAGGCGGCTGATCTGCAAGAGGATCTGTGATTGTAAGTTGAAAAATCTGGGTGGAAGGAAAGAGACAGGGAGTGCTGGTTAGACACATTGTGGGAGGATGTGTAGCAGAAAATGCATGCATGAGTAAAAGAAGAAAAGGGAGAAGCGTTTGTCTTTGGTAGACTGGAATGATAAAAATTATATTAAGGGCTTTCCTTTGGGGAAAATATTCAGAAATGGGCAAAAATACTCAGTCTCTGCAAAGATATTTTCCCTTTGTGGGAATGAATGTGTGAGATTCGTTTTTATGTTCAGTTTTACAGTGGTTAACTATGAAGGCAAAATAATATTTTATAAGAAATTAACATGTAGAAAATGCTGTTTATTTCTCATTGTCATTTTATTCCTAGGTCAGAGACAGAGGACAAAGTGATAAATACTTGTTTTTATTTATACATTTTGTGAATTTCTATGAAATGTGAAGCAGAATAGTTGATTAGGAAATAAATATACATCCATTCTAATAGTTGTATTTTTATTTAATGTATCCTTTTCTAGACAAAAGCTTTGATGATGAAGAGTCAGTGGATGGAAATAGGCCATCATCAGCTGCTTCAGCCTTCAAGGTTCCAGCACCTAAAAAGCCAGGAAATCCTTCAAACAGTGCAAGAAAGCCGGGATCAGCTGGTGGGCCTAAGGTTGGAGGTAATGTAAAGCTATTCAGATTCTTACCGATGTTCCCAGAAACCTTGCCAGAGCAAGCACAAAACAGAGAACTTTGGAAGGTGATGTTTAATTCATGACTGCAGTATTTTTGCAGAGCTGAAAACAGCAAGGGACCCTGTTTTACCTATTATTCATATCTAAAGGTGTGTGCATTTCTGTCTGTTTTTGTGAATGTACATTTAGCTTATAAAGGCCTCTCGTGTTATAAATAAAATGAACATCTGGAGATAGCAGTTGTGTAGGTAAAATGAATATATGGGTGCCTCTTTGGTGGAATCCACACATCACTCACTGTATATATAAATATACTGCAAAATTCTGTAGTAGGTCTGTGTAGATGAAATTTTTGCTGTAGGTCTGCACTGTTTCACATGGCTAGAAAGGACTAGCCAGCAACTATATACCTCAACAGAGGTGTATATTACACCTGAATGACTTTTATTATTATTCCTTACACTGTCAGAATATTGTGAAATTTGTTGTGAAAGATAAAAAATGAGGGCCAAAACCCTTGCCAGGGTTTTTTTGGATGGTAGACTTCAAAGCAGTATAATGATGATGCTTACTAATTATAGTTGTTGAACATAGAAATCCGCATTTTTTTAGGGCGGGGGTAATCTAACAAAACCAACTGTTTACTGCTAAAGAAGTGACAGCTTTTTTTGATGGTTCATGTACACATTCAGAAAAATATATAATTAAGTGGAAACACACCATGCTTCGGGTATGGCTTTTTTATGAATATTTGATTTTTTTTTCAGTAAGGGATTTTTGTAAGAGTAAGTATTTTTTTCATGTTCCTATTCATGTAATGTTTTCTTATGTGAACTGCAAAGCAAAGATAAAATTTGAAAGAAGATATACATGCCAAACAAGCTGCCTTAAGTATTTTCATGTTAATAAAATACAGCTAATGTTTTGACAATTTATTGTTTTTCTAATGTGATCTTCAGAATTCCTAATAAATCGGAAAGATTCCCATAGGGCGGGATCAACACTGTCATAGTGTAACTCAAAATTGATAGCAGTATGAATCAGAAAGTACCACCTGAAAGACTTCCTAAAGGAAGTTATCTCTTGAATTTGATTCTTCGTATTTATTATTATTACACCAATAAGTAATAATACTGTCATCTCCTTTAACCTGAAGCATGGTGGTTTTTGCATGCAAGAATATGGTACCAGAATATAGTACCAGAACTGAATGCTCAGGATTCCTGTTTCTTTCAGTATGTGCTTTTTTAATAACATGTTATTAAATATAGATGTTTTTAATGTAACATTGTTCTTAAATGTAGACTTTCACTTAACATGCTCTGCAGTAAAAACATGGAGATAGGAAGGCAGGGGAAGGGAAATAACAGAATAATTGCTTGACTGTTTTTTTCAGTTTATCTAAAAATTCAGGAGTAAAGGAGATCAAAACCCCAAAAATTATTACAGTCTTTTTCCTCCTCTTCCTATATTGCCAAACTTCAAAAAATTAAAATGAAAAAATACATGGAATAAGGACAAAATTTAAGCATGCCAAAACCAGAGAACTTTGTTCATTCCTTGCTTTATACTGTCTCCTTTCAACTCTGGAAAATACTGAGGAGTGTTTCCCCTCTTTTTTTAGTCTGTCAGTATATCTGTAGTCAGAATTTTGAAAATTTAGGATTAGATGTTTGGCTGGCCTTTATAATGTTGATTAAACTGTTCTTTGAATGCTTGTCTGTATGTGCATCTGTAGCGTGGTTGTGCAGACTGCTCAGGTGCTTGACCATGGAGAATTTTTGCCTTGACATTTTGTAGGAAAGATTTTGTGCCTTGTGTTCTTCACCAAATGGCTAGAAGGTGGAAATTCATCTTCCAGTCTTGAGTTGTTCTCAACTACCTCTACTTTTTTCTCTTTCTGTCTACCAGGGAGAAATTTTTACAGGTCTGTTAATCTGCTTGTGCACAGATTTCTTTCATTACATAGAGCTATATGTTTCCTAGTTTAATTCTTCTTTGGTGTTTGTTTCCCTTCAAGTTTTCCTTGAGTTGACCCTAATTTGGGGGGGGGTAGCATTTTCCGTATGTCACCATTGATCAGCAAGGCTATTATCGCTGTTTTCATTTTTAGCAGCTAGTATTTGTCTTCCTTTTACTCCTGCTGCTCATTATTTGTATCTTTCAGTGTTTTTCTCCATCTCCATACTTTGAGGTTCCAATGCTTAAACTAGTTCTGTTTAGTAACAAGCTTGCTAGCAGATAGAAATGTTAAATGTCTGTGCTGAGAGCATTACCCTTCTGCATAGTATTTACAAATCTTGCATCTCCTAGCTGAATAAAGAATGTTAGTGCAGATGCCAAATGTAGTTCTTAAACAAGTCAATCAAGTTATGGTCTCTTCCAGAAGTGAGGAGTTTCCCATAACATTATTCACCTGAACAGTGATACTAGGTCAGACAAAAGGTCTGTATAGTCCACTGTTCCATCTGACAGTAGTCAGAAATGGCTACTAGAGAAATATACGTGAACAGGGCAAGTATCTAGAAGCACGTGGTCATTACGGGACAAAAAAGCTGGGTTTAGAGAGCTTTATTCCACAGAGAACCACGGTCTTTGAAGTGTCCAGTTAAGGCATCCTATTCTGCTTATCTTGAGACTTCATGGATCTTTATGGCTCCAAACAAACCTTGATGCTCTTTTGCATCCACTTTTTGTAGAGTCTGCTTTGCAGGTGCCTAAGGGACACCTGAGATTTTTTTCCAGCCTCAAAATTGCCATCTTTATGGAGCAAATCTATGGTTCTGGAAGTTGTCTGCTCTTGCTGATTTATTAAGGCTGTGCCATATCCTGCAGTCTGAAATCCTTCTGCTTTCTGCTGCATTCCAAGCCTGTAAAGAGTGGGAATGTCATTTCTCTCCTTTCCCTCATAAGCATTGGCTACAGGTATTTCAGGCTCATAACTGCTCACCACATGGTTCTGCTACCTGTTGGTCCTGCTTGCCTGAGTTTTTTCCAACTTTTCCATATATACATACTAAGAAGTTGCAGTTCAGCCTTGGAGGAAGAAGTAGCAGCAGCTCCATTAACTGTGTGCTTTTTCTTTTCCTTTTCACAAAAATCTCCCAAGTCATGTCAGTGACCCACAGCTGAAGTGGTCCTTAGCTGCAGTTTCTTCTGTTCAGGCGTCTGTGACCAGTCAGAACTGCTAGCGCAGGTAGAAATTGTGTTGAGCGTAGGCTGAGATTACTGCAAGTTCCATTCATTTAAACTGCCTTTTACATTCCAGAGATCTTTCTCCTAGGGTATTGCTTTAGAAAGATGTCTTTTCTTATCAGCTGTAGATGACAACAAAGAAAGTACAGCTTTTTTTGTGGTTCCAAAAGGGAGTGGAGGCTATCCTGTCTTGAGGCTAAGAAAATTAAACCTCTTAGCCAAGCTGTTCACTTTCTTTTATGCTGATATCTGCTGAATTATATCTCAAATGCATGTGTGCTTGGCTTTCCTTTATATATACTCCATGGAGTTGTTCCTTATTGAAGAAATGGGTAATTCCACCACTGACCAGATACTCTGTTCAAGTGAAAGGACCCATCCAATGTGCAAAAAATGATTTTTTTTTTTCCCACTGTGTTTGGCACTTTCCATTTAACGTACGAAATGCACTTTGGTGGCATTGGAAATGCAAAATCATTGTCCAGGAAGGCAGGTGAATCAGCTATGTATATTTGCGATAGGAGTGTCCTATACGGGCTGGAATTCTCTCTCCTTGTGCTGGGAATGACTGTGCAACATCTCTTCCTGTCAGCTGTAGGGATGGGAGAGCTTGTAGAACTTGTGCATTTGCTGACAGGTGTGATTAAGTCTGTAGAAGACAGGTTGCTGGAAAAGTGTCAGAGCAGGCAGCCTCAGTGAGGGACTGCCCTGGGAGTGAGAAATCCAGCAGTCTTTCTCATCTGACTTTACTGCTGGGACAGTGCAGTACTTTACTGTTCAGATACTGACCTTCTTGCTTGTGATGAATGGAAAGTGATGGGTCTTCATTAATGGGGCAGTGCTTTGTTTGGCATATTTCTTATTCCACAGTCAATACACTTTCCTGAGTTAGTCCTTTGCCAGGAAATGCACAGCTGCTCTACCTACTTCTGACACGCTTGCTTTCTGCACTTCATTCAAGTGGCAGAGCCTCTGGAAATACCCCTTTGCTCTAAGGCCTTGTTACTGAGAATGTGCAGAGCGTGTGTTCTGCCCTTCCAGAAACACATACTCATGGGCTCTTCCTTGGCAGTATGGCACACAGATTTCATTTGTAAGGGACACCATAATTTACAGTAGAAAAAGACTTCAGTTGAATATGTTAGCCAAATGAGCTATATTGTTGTCCCTGCGCTGTTCAAGATCTCTTAAGGCTTTGGCAGGTTCTCTTGCAAATGTGTCGCAAGCCTTCTAGGGAATTGTTCGCTTGTATACTATTCAGAAGCTTTATGTAGTCTAGATGTTTGTAGGAAATCTCAGTCTGTACTTGAACAAGAAGACTGGCCTCCTTTCTTTTCCCAAAATGTCAATTTAAGTCAGTAGTCTTTAAAATGGATTGAATGTCGGAATAGTGATACTTCAATAGAGCCATGTGGCATTTGGAATAAAAGCTTGCTGATGAAACCCAGTCATGGCAAAAGTCGTGATTAACTTTCTGTTGTATGTTTTATGAGAAGCTCTGTAGGGCTGGAAAATCATTCTTAATGTTGTAATTTGAAACAAGGTGGACTTTCTACTTCTTGCAGTTGTCTTCAGTGGGAAGATACGGCATCATGTATTTTTACCTATGGTTCGTTGGCTTTTTTTAATCTATAGTGTATTGGCCTATAGCGTTATTACACATCGTTTACTGTTTAATAAGGATGTTACACTTTTTGGAACAACCTGTGTTGCTTTAGGATGAATCATCCAGTGACAAAATAGCAAAGGGGATGTTGTTAATTCAAATGTCAAAATTATTGTTACTGCTG